TTCCCCGTGCTCCCATGGAAGCTGTTGCCTTGGAGACACTGAGCATATCATGAGGAGAAGGAAAAGAAGGTGGTGTGTATCTCTATGCAAGCCATAAAGTTAGGCTTTGTAGTGCTACGTGTGTCTTTCTGATTTTTTTTTTAAGATTTATTTATTTTTATTGCAAAGTAAGATATACAGAGAGGAGGAGAAATAGAGAGGAAGATCTTCCGACCGGTGATTAACTCCCCAAGTGGCTACAATGGCTGGAGCTGAACTGATCCTCACACGGAAGTCAGGAGCTTCTTTCTGGTCTCCCATGTGAGTGCAGGGACCCAAGGCTTTGGGCTGTCCTTGACTGCTTTCCCAGGCCTCAGGCAGGGAGCTGGATGGGAAGTAGAGCAGCTGGGATTAGAATCGCAGCCCATATGGGATCCCCATGCATACAAGGTGAGGACTTTAGCCTCTAGGCTACAGCACCAGGCCCATAGCATGTGACTTCTCATGCAACTCCTTATGACTGCAAAAAAAAATTTTGGCTCCTATTACTAGTGTAAATATCAAGTAATTGTTTGAACAAATTTTCAAAGTCAAGTTTCTATCTCACTTCTAAAGATAGTTAGGTTCTCTTTCATTTCCTGGATTATTAGACTTCCCCCGTGATACCATTTGTCGTATTATTTCTGTGGTATTTACATGTTTATGAAGCATGTCCATAATTAGGAAATGATACATGGAAAATACCTATGTGAGGTGTAGAGTCAAGTGATCCCTAGCTTGAAACCAAGAGTTACAAATGTCCAGCAATTGCGTTCTGTCACGAGACTGGTGTTTTCCTTATTTCAACACACAATCTGGGTAAACTTAAAAGGTTTTTTAAATAATAGTTCTTTGAATATGGAACATGAGCTATCCACAAAGATTCAGTCTTGAGCAAAATTTAGAAATAAGGTTTATCACTGCTGATGACAAGACCCATCCTTTTTCTTGAAAGTAATTGGAGGGCCCGGCGCGGTGGCGCAGTGGTTAAAGGTCCTCGCCTTGCACGCCCAGGATCCCATATGGGCGCCGGTTCTATCCCAGCAGCCCCGCTTCCCTTCCAGCTCCCTGCCTGTGGCCCGGGAAAGCAGTCGAGGACGGCCCAAAGCTTTGGGAACCTGCACCCGCGTGGGAGACCCGGAAGAGGCTCCTGGCTTCGGATCTGCATAGCATCGGCCGTTGCGCTCACTTGGGGAGTGAATCATCAGATGGAAGATCTTCCTCTCTGTCTCTCCTCTCTGTATATCCGCCTTTCCAATAAAAAAAATAATAATAATAAAAATAAATCTTTAAAAAAAAAAGAAAGTAATTGGACAGCTCGTGTATTTTTGCAGTTTCTGTTGAATTGAGAATAGTCACCATCATTTGAGATGGAAATAGCAGAAATGAATAATTTAGAAGGGAAAAGGATTTGCAGTGGGTGGCAATGACGTTTTCTGCATTATATTCTTAGAAACTTAGGCTGTTAGAACTAGAAGCATCTCTGATAAAACTGTTCGTTAACTTTTGAGAAAACACAGCTCCAGATACTGGGTCAAGAAGGTATTAAGTATAGGAGGGCAAATTGGAGCTCAAGTGAGAGCTTCGGGGTCCTTTCTCAGCACACTGCACTCTTCTCCAGCACCTGTGGTGGTGTCCCTGGCGTTTCCAGATTACACCATCTGCCACGGGTAAGTCAATAAGTGAGTTCCATTTAGGTATTTCCTATGCACAAATAACCATAATTCTGTCTGTGCAATTTACCTTTAGGAAGTACTCTTTAATCAGTTGTGGGACATGGGAGCCTCGGTGAATATCAGGAGGATGGCCAACTGTGATCAGAATGCAAGCATTATGCTACCCCCGCATTTTTTTAAGATTTATTTTTGTTTTTCTTGGAAAGTCAGATATACAAAGAGGGAGAGACAGAGAAGAAGAAGATCTTCCATCCATTAATTCACTCCCCAAGTGGCCGCAGCGGCTGGAGTCGGGCTGATCTGAAGCCAGGGGCATGGAGCCTGTTCCTGATCTCCCATGTGGGTGCAGGTCCCAAGGCTTTGCGCCATCCTCAGCTGTTTTCCCAGACCACAGGCAGGGAGGTGGTTGGGACGTATGGTCACCAGGATTAGAACAAGCACCAATATGGGATCCCCATGCATGCAAGGCGAGGACTTTAACCACTAGGCTACCGTGCCGGGCCCTACCTCAGAATTTTTAAAAACCAGGATCAGGGCCAAAACGATCAGAAGCAAACTGCTTTCCTACTACTTTTCCATTGGTGTTCTTGTTGTTTTTATTGTTTTTATTGTTGTTGTTTATTTTTAATAACATCATTGCAAAGGTGGGCATTTGGCCTAGTGGTTAAACTGCCAGTTACCACATCTGCATCCCATATCGGTATGCCTTGTTCCAATTCAGCTCTTTTTTCTGGTTTGAACTTTTCCTAATGCAAGACCCTGGGAGGCAGTGGTGACAACCCAAGAGTTGGGTTCCTGTTATCCACAAACAGACATGGTATAAGTGTTTGGATCCCAGTTTCAGCCTGCCCCCTGTCCTAACCTTTGGGAACATTTGAGGTTGACAGTCTATCATCTCTCTCTCTCTCTCTTTTTCTCTCTCTCTCTCCATCCCTGTCTTTCAAGGAAACAAATATTTAAAAAATGGTATCACTTCAGCACTTGGCTAGGTTAAAAAAAAAAGTCTGAGCCAAACCAACTGCAGTTTAAAAATGTTCTTGACAAACCTGTGATGTAAGTTATTCCATTTACATGCATGATATAAAAAGAGAGAATGGATCAGCCATCAACATGGAGCTTTCAACTGTAGGTTTAGATGAAGTTGTAGTTCCCAGCTCACCTTGCTCCCCCCACTCTGCTGAAGGGAATATTTAGTGATGCTGGATATGCTTTTGTCTTATATGACATTGTTGTTCTCCTGGATAAAGATCAGGGATGCTATTGAACACCCTGTATTACCCAGAACAGGCCCCAACAGTGGAGACCTGTTTAAGCCATAATGTCAGTCATGGCATTGTGGAAAAAAACTTTGGCCTCTGGCGGTTTGTGACCTGTGTGTTAACGTGGCTTTAGTACGCCATGTAGAGAACTGGTTAACGTAGAAGGAACTTGACTTTTAGAAGAAATATATCTGGTATGGTGTGTGACTTGAAGAATTTTTCTTGCCCATTTGAGCAAGAGAGGAAATTATAGCCCAAGAAAAACACCATTCAGTTCCCATGCTGACCTACGTGTCCATTCATTGTTTTTCTCTTCTCTCTCTGTCTCTCTCAGCCTGAAGGGGAAAACAAGCTTTCCTTTGCTCTTCTGTCTGTGACTGAGAGTTGTGATCAAAGATTCTGTGACTATTTAGATATGTTGTTTTGTTTGGGTGTGATGACATTGTTTGGACAAACATACAAAGAATTTAAAAGAATGACTAAAAATATTAAGAACTGCTTTAGCTTTACCCATTCTTTTGCGAAAACAGCTGCTGACATGGCACCCCATGCCAGGTGAAGAATTAACCCTTAACATGGTCAAGCCTTGGCAGAGAACATTATGGTGGCAGCAGTGGCTGAGGAATGAGAAGGGTCCAGGAAGAGAAGAATTGGTTAGGAGGCTGTTAGTGCATTCCTCATGTGCTGTGTTCTACTAAGGAGCTGGGTGTAGTAAGAATGATTTGTGTTTCCTTGTTCTTTTTTGAACCTTTGAAAGAAAATTTCCATATTGTTTGGGTTTTTTTCCCCATTGCAAAGTGCTTGCATTCCAAACAAGTGAAATCATTGGCCATAGCCAATGGACAAGTATTTCCAGTCCTGCTCATTTTGTAGGGCAGATGGCATGGTGATATTCATCCTAGGACAACAAGCCCTTCACTATGCAGATCCTAAGTATCAGCAGCTGTGGTGCCTGGCTTCAGGTCCACCTGTGGCACCGTCCAGCAGCCCTCAGTGGTATTTCGTGGAGATGACTAACAGTCGTTTTCGTCCACTTCAGCTCCCAGAGTAAGATATTCTGATATTCTTGGGAATATCTATAACTCTTACCCAGCCAGAAAGCAGAAAACTTCTCCCAATCCCTGTTCCGTGCCGGGTATTGTTACTTTACATAGTTGCAGAGATCCTCAGCTTTGAGCCAGGAGAAGCATAGCCCCGTAATTCAGAAGGATGTCAAGGAATGAGGAATGGATGCAGACAGCTAGGAAACAAAAGCCAGTGGCCATGGGGTGAGAGCAGGTGTGAGAGAGTCAAAGGTCTGACCTGGCTCTCTTGCTTTTCTACGTGTTCAGTGCTTAGAAACCAAGCATTACAAATCTAACGACCATGGTTCCAAAGGAGAACGTAGGTAGGAGGAGAATCACCATAGATTTAATTCTAGATTAGACTTCAAATTGTAGAGGATACATGGGTATCCTCTACATATTTGGGTATTTTAGAATAATTTTACTTTGGAAACTTTTGTAGTAAAAACTATCACAATTTTTCTTTGTCTCTATAAAGAAAAGAATCCTTAATATTTAGAATAGATTTTCTATCAAAAGAAACAGCATGTCGTCTTAAACCTCAGCTTTCTCATCGATTATAAACAAGGAAGAAAATCTACTCAACTCTCTTAGTATTCTCTGTTGTTGTTTTCAGAACTAGAGAAAAGAAAAACAGTACAAGAGCAGTGGAATTCCTACCTTCTAGTTCACTCCCCAAATTCCCACAACAGCCAGGGCTGGACTAGGGCAAAGCCAGGGCCAAGTTACTTCATCTTCATCTCACTCACGGATTAGGGATGACATTGCTTAAGCCATTGCCACTGACTCCCACGGTCTGTATTAGCAGAAAGCTTGGGTCAAGAGCCTGAGCTAGGAATCTGACCCAAGCACTGTGATGTGGGACTTTGGCTTCTTAACCGCTAGGTTAAAAAGTTCACTCCATCATCCCACTTTGCTGCTTTTAGCATTCAAATAGGCCTTGACTGTTGAGGCTAACATTGAGATTCCTGTTTTGTTTGCAGACTGCATCATCTGCTATCAAAGGTGCTATTCAGCTGGGAATAGGGTACACGGTGGGCAACCTCACTTCTAAGCCGGAACGAGACGTTCTCATGCAAGACTTTTATGTGGTGGAAAGCGTGTTCCTGCCCAGGTATGAACATTGAAGCATGGGATGAGTTCCATGCTGACGAAGCTTCCTTGTAATATCCCTAGAACATATGTTTACTTATGGCAATGTCTGTGTTAGCTTTTGGCAAAGACAGAGCTGTCCCAATGATTGTTTCTTCCTGTTGCATCTGTGGAGATGGTCAGTGTGGTATTCATCATCAGTGGGGTTAGGAGATCCAGTGGGAGGGAGTGCAGAAGTCTTCCTGGAATGACTGTCATGGCTGTAGAAAGAGAGGACTTCCATGCAGCTGCAACCCATGCCAGGATTTTGTTCTTTTTATTGTAGGAGAATGGACTTGGGCACAGAGTTGGGCCTCACATCAGAGTTTAATCTCATAGTTCCTCTGATGTGATGACTTCAACTTTCCTCCAGAAAACAGTTGAGGATCTGTTGTTGTGCTGCCATGTTCACAAAGCACCAAAGTAATTGGGGAGGGAAAAAAATCAGTTGTTCACAACAAATGCCTCTGAACATGAATGGTGCTGATGGCTGCACAACATGTGAATGTAACTGATGCCACAGAATTATCCACTTAAAAGTATTAAAATGGTTGAAGTTTGTTTTGTGTTTATTTTTGCCAAAGTTAAATATACAAAATTCTGTAACCACCATTTTATATGGAGAGAAGTCATCATCTCTTCAAAATCTCTTCAGAATAAGTCATTTGGTTATTTGTTACTGGGCTTGAGTAAGTTTGGTTAGGGGAAATCTTTTTACTTCAGGTTCTCATTGTCTTATTTTAAATGCATTTTTTCAGAGGATGGTAATTACAGATTTATTTCTGTATCCAGCTGTCAACTGCCTAAAAATGCAATCTACAGGTGAATGTTGAGTAACTCCCACATAGATAGGTGAACATAAATTTTAAATAGTCAGCTAAAAACTCAAACAATCTTGCTTTGTTTTACACATTTTTAAGAGTAAAGTTGGTCTTCAGGCGACTTTAAAATTTGCTTCTCTCAGCTTTCCTAATGAGCAAAACAGCAAGATTTCAGTAAGAAAAGGACACCTCTAAGGTCTAAAATACAAGCATTGTTCACGAAACCATTCCTCTTTCTCTTGTTGGAAACTTTTCCCTTGTTTGCTTTTAGCAGGTCTGTTTGTCACTCTGAAAAATTTGCTTCTCTTGAAATTCCTCAGGGTGTGAGTTTACCTTTGGGTACTGTTTTTTTTTTTTTTAGGATTATGATTCATTTTTAAAAAAGATTCATGTGTTTGAAAGGCAGAATGATGGAGAAGGAAGTAGAGAGAGAAAGGAAATCTTCCACCTGCTAATTTGCTCTCCAAACTGGTAGGTGGAGACCAGGAACTTGGAACTCCATATGGGTTTTCCACAGGACTAGCAGGTGCCCAAGTACTTAGGCCATCTGCCACTATGTTCTTAGACACATTAGCAGAGAGCTGGATTAGAAGCAGAGCAACCAAGACTTGAACAAGCAGTCTGCTATGGGATGCCAGTATAGCAAGTGACAGCTTGGCCTGATTTGGCTCAGTGCTAGACACTAAAGTAATATTTCCCATAAATCTGGTTTCCAAGTTTTCTGGCTCTCAGGATCTTTTAGGACCTCTGCTCAGACATGTCACCTTTTTTTTTTTATTATTATTAATGACAAGACCAGAAGAAGTGAAAAACTTTTGTGGAGGCTAATGATTGCACAGCAGTGAATATGAGCTGTCCACTCAGCTGACAGTGAGTTCAGGGGCGGATGGTAGTTGCTGCGGACGACGTGTGTGTCAGGAAGAGGAGGTGCTGTCTCAGCCTTGCCCATCTCCTCCTCTGCTCACAGGAGCCATTCAGCACCCCTCCGTAGAGCACATAGCTGGGCAGTTTGGAAAAGTATGGCCCAAGCACGGCTCCCCAAGAACTGACTATATGTGCAGATTCCTGGGTTCCACACCAGTACAACCGGGAATTCTAAACAGTTTGAGAACTATTGGTCTAATACCTTAATCCCCATTTTGGAACTACAATCTTTATAGTAAGCACCAAGTTTTGTTGGCATTATTACATAATTCAGAACTAATAGAATATCAAACTGTTAAATTAATATCTTAGAGACTGTGCTGTATTGTAATGTGTTACAGTGTGTCGCGCAATGCCAGCATCCCATATGGGTGCCAGTTTCAGTCCTGGCTGTACCACTTGTGTTCCAGCTCCATGGAAATGTGCTTAGGAAAGCCACAGAAAGTGGCATGAGTGCGTGGACCTCTGAATTCATGTAGGAGACCTGGGAGGAGTTCCAGGCTGCTGACTTCAACCTGGCCCGGTGTCAGTTGTTGTAGCCATCTGAGAGTGAACCATAGATGAAATATCAACATCCCCCTCCCTCCTTTAACTCTGCCTTCCAAATAAATAGTCTTAACAATAAAATGTAAATTAATCTTAAGCATAAATAATATATTAGTAACAATTTGTGGTAGTTAAGTGAATTATAATAAGAACTTAGGAAGGTCCTCATCAGGTGCTTAGAGACACTGTCTGAGTGTAGCCATCTGATCACCAAATCCGTGCGAGATGTGCAAGACCTGCTAGGGGTACCCAAATCCATGGATGCTCAAACGACTTATATAAAATGACGTGGCATTTACATATAACCAGTGAATATCCTCCTGTATATTTAAAATCATCACAGATTATTCCTAATAGCTAATAAAATGTGAATTGTGCGCAAATACTTGTTACATTGTTTAGGCAGTAACAAGAACAGTTGCACTTGTTTACTCCAAGCACATTTTTTCCCAAATGTTCTCTGTCCACAGTTGGTTGGATCTGATGAGTATACAGACAAACTGTGCACCCTGCTTGTTCCTGGGTGATTTACTAAAAGCCTGCTACGTATTTATGATTAGGAGCAAATTATGATGTTTTCATTTAGAAGTAGGAAATCAAAATTCTGAACACCTGGATTTTTTTGTCTCTGGCCTTCACCTTTAGCCCATAGTAGGCGCAGCAGACCTAACGCTAGCACAGCATCAATGAGCTAACTTTGCCTTATTAGGGACATCCACTGCTATACTGCAAATACCTCATTGTAGGCATTTACTTTGATAATTTTTAAATGTCTGTATAACACTAAATGTTTTATTCTTGATTCTGTCTGTTTTTCTCTGAAAGACACAGAGACAGAGATTTTCCATCTACTGGTTCTCTCCGCAGATACCTCAGTGCAGGTTTCCACGGAAACTCAGCATGTGCGTGTCCCAGGGAGTGCATCAACAGGAAGCTGGGGTCAAAGGCAGAACTAGGGGATCAAATTCAGGCACTCCAATATGGGATCCATCCCAGTGGTGTCTTAGCTGCTGTGCTAACCACTTGCCTTTGCAGCTTTTATAATACATATCTTCTGTAAGTAACACATGCTCTGGGCATATTTACTTGAAACAGAAAGAGACTACCTTTTTCTTGCCTTACTGTCTTCATCTAGACTCCCTTTTTGCAGGTTTAGCAAAGAAACGGGGCCCTGTGTTTCTTAGTGTGCTGCTGAGGATAAAACAGCTCTTCCTGGGCAAGGACAGTTTGTTTCAGGAGATCTGTCATTCCCAGGATCTGCCAGTCATGTTGCCTAGTTACCGTGGCAGTCAAAAGCCCCACAGCACTATGCAAATTATCTTGATTGTGGTGATGGTTTCACAGTTGTATATACACACAAAATGTCGAGATACTCTTTATTGTATGTAGGGTACACCTCCATAAATCTGTCCAATAGTGGTCTCTCCCCTGGTATCTCTAAGCACATCTGGAGGTGAAGATCCAGGGAGATGTGCAGGCTGGGCCAAGGTGACAACAACTGAAACATTCTGAGATCTCTGCAGATCTGAAATTCAGTTCCATCTGGGTCATTAAATGAGCTAGTTGCCCGAAGTACCTCGAGATGTCTCAATTTGCTACTGTCTGAAGCTGGGGGATCTGTCTCCCATAGCAACCAAGTGCATTGTGTTATTTGTATATATTTTCAAGTTGCTCACAATCATTTTTAGTTATTTTAAAGTTATCTTTAGGTCTTCTAAGTTTGCTCGCCAGGTTATTTCACTTTATAGATGGACAAACCCCAGCACTTGTTTCATGTTGGAAAGGTGATATGACGATCCCATTCGGCTGTTTGGTGTGCTGGATTCCAAAGCTGAAGGAAAGACCACGTCCTCACTTCTCCCCATTTTCCACAGACTTTGTAATAAAGTACCCACATGGCTGACAAAGATTAAAAATGTACTCTCAGGCTCTTTATGGAAGAACTTTGCCAATCCCTAATTTATATGACATATACTTAGCAGATTTTAGGGGGATGATAGAATGTTAGGAGGTTTGTGGGAAAATGGAATTTAAAGATAAGCTTGTTTGGGGTTGAAATCCATGCAAAGAGTTTTCAGAAAGTTCCTGGAACAAATGACCATGTGTGGATTTTAAAGTTTTTTTACACTAGAATAAACTTACCTTTCAATTTTATTTTCTGTGAAGTTTTTATAGTTCCCTCATACATTTTTGTGATGTGGTCTGGCATCATGATGAACATGATGCTCTTCCTGTCAAAACTCTTCAGTTACATGTCAAATATTCTTGGAAGTAGAAAGAAGCTGACTTCCTATCAATAAAAGCTTTATGCCCTTATTAGGTCAAAATAAGAGATTTATTAAATTGTGGTAGATTCTAAATGTAGATCATGTGTTCACAGCATTTGTATTCACAGTTTTCCTTGTATGACACCCATGGGAAGCAGACCATGATGTACTTGCACCAGCACTTAGCAGACCAAAACTCTTGAAGCGAGAAGATTGAAAAAACAAGGAGGGGATGCACAATTATTGATGTTAACCAGAAATGAACCAACTCCTGCGACAGGATTCTGTAAGATACCAGCAGCAAGGCTAGGTAGCAGGTGGAAACTGTCTAATATACGTAGAGTGAAGAACATTTTTATTATGAAAATATAGGGAAGAGAAGCAGCATAAGTTGGTTGCATTGCTCTTTTATTGTCTGTTAACAGGAGAGGTGGGATGATGTAAAATGAGATAGATTTGGGGACTGGTGAACATTTTGTAAAGTACTTGTTCCTTCTGAATTAGTTGAGCTGGCAACACGAGGGTAGTGATAGGGTAGAAGTTAAGGTTTTTACCACACATTCAGAAATGTAACGTGGTCTTGTTGCTTCTGGCCCACAACTATAGCGGTGAACCTTTCCCAGTCGCTCCCTCAGTCCCCTGGTCCTTGTAGTTAAATTTAGTCTCAGTTTTCCTTCAATGTCTCGCTTAGACTGTACTACAAAAAAGATTTGAAGACATAACATAAAATTCTATCATATTGTTCTAATTATTCACTCTAAAAAATTTACACATGCAGAGGTTAGGTGGCTTGTCTGAGACACGTAAATGTGTACTATTGTATAGAGCCCAAGAGGGAGATGGATAAACATTTAAATCAGGGAGGTTGATGTCCCTAAGGATGTGAGGAGTGAAAGATGTAGACAGGTAGGGACAACGTTGCGTTCCTTAAGCAGCATTTTGAGCGTCTGAATATCCACTGTGTGAATCCTTATATCGCTGTGTCACAAGTATTGTGAAAAAAAAAAAATTCAAAACTGAAACTAGAAAAGAAATATAATATTTTATTTGGACATGAAAGCCAAGTTTTGAAATCCTAAAATATTTAATATTTCTTTGGAAAACATGGAGAGTTCAGATTGAGGGCCTGTCCATTTCTTGTGTGAACTTTCTGTATCTAAGAAATACTTTGCTTCCTTCTGGCTAAAAATATTTACCTGATATCCAAACTTTATGGTCAAAGAAAAAAGTTCTCTGAATTACTCTAAACATCAACCCCTGGCTGGGACGGGTGGGTTGTTTGTTTTTAAGGTTTTATTTATTTGAAAGGCAGAGTTAGTTACAGAGAAAACAGGAAAAACAAAGAATGATCTGTTCTGCACCAATTCAACCAAATAGCCACAAGGGTGGAGATGGGCCAGGCTGAAGCTGGGACAACATCTGAGTCTCTGTGTGGGTGACAGGGGCCTTACTCCCCTGCTCTCCCAGAAGCAGTAGCAGGGAGCTGGGCTGGACCTGGGGCCCAGACAGGGAGGTGTCACAGATGGCAGCTTAGCCACACTTTTCTCAAAGTGGTTTCAATGTGAGGATGGGACCATTTTCCCATAAAGAAGACATAAAAGTGGGCGGGTGGGTGGCAACGAGCACACTGGTTGGCAGGGAATCGCTGTATGGGGTGGCCATAACCATTTGTTGTATCTGATTTTAGCTCATGGCCATTGCTCTTTGTGACATGGATTGCTTTCTGCAGAGATGACGTTGACCCAACAGAACCAGTAGAGCTGGAATATGGAGTCCTACGTGTCTTTTCTAATGTCCTCTCTGTATGTGTCTCTCCTGAATATTTTACCGGCAGTGAGGGAAGCAATCTGACCCCTGCACATCACTTCCCAGACTTCCGATTCAAGACATACGCTCCACTGGCCTTCCGCTACTTCAGAGAACTTTTCGGTATCAAGCCTGATGATTACTTGGTAAGAACCTGCAGCCTCACTTTCTCCTCAAGGAGTGTATGATGTAAACATTTGTCTCAAAGCAATAGTGACAGTGGCTTTTTTCGCTTATTCTGTTAAGCTTTAGGGGCATAGTAAAAGTTCCACATTTTATAATGATTATAAATTTATATTCAAGAGATGCAATTTGACTTTGCTACCTTTTTTTAAAAAAGGTGTAATTTTGGGCCCGGCGCGGTGGCGCAAGTGGTTAAGGTCCTCGCCTTGCACGCCCGGGATCCTATATGGGCGCCGGTTTTAATCCCGGCAGCCCCACTTCCCATCCAGCTCCCTGCTTGTGGCCTGGGAAAGCAGCAGAGGACAGCCCCGAGCTTTGGGACCTTGCACCCGCGCGACCCGGAAGAGGCGCCTGGCTTCGGATTGGCATAGCATCAACTGTTGCAGTCACTTGGGGAGTGAATCATCGGATGGAAGATCTTCCTCTCTGTCTCTCCTCTCTGTATATCCGCCTTTCCATATTATGTTCGCTGATTCACTCCCCAAGTAACCGCAATGGCTGGAGCTGCAGCGCCGGTCCGAAGTCAGGAGCCAGGAGTGCCTTTCTGGGTCTCCCATGTGAATGCAGGGTCCCAAGGCTTTGGGCCATCCTCAACTGCTTTCCCAGGACACAGCAGGGAGCTGGATGGGAAGTGGAGCAGCGGGGATTAGAACCAGAACCGACACTCATATGGTGTCCCAGCATGTGCAAGGCGAGGACTTTAGGTTACTGTGACGTTCCCTGACTTGCTACTTTTAACACATAGTTCAGAAACTGCTATAGTAATTGATATTTAAGTAAGTGTACTATCAGTTTCTACTTCAGTTAATTATTCTAACAGAAATAATTAGTGCTAAAAATCCTTGTGAGTTTTGCTGACTAGAATCTGTGTGAAATCCTATTTTAGTTGCCTGATTTATGCCATTCAGTTCAAACTCACATTGACCCACAACTGGTTTCACCTTGACCTACAGATTTTAATAACATTTTGTTAAAGCTGGTTGGTTTTGTACCCAGGCTCTTTTGGAACGTGTTTTTACATTCACTAGGGGCATATTTTATGCCTGGCTCTTCATGTCTCTGCACACCGTGAGGAATCGTGAGACACGAATATGTTTGCTTGTTTCAAAGCGTCCTAGTTCCCAGTGCTGAATGCATTAAAGGTGATGGCTCCAGCATATCTTTAGAAATCCCGTGAACAACTCTCTTAGGGTACTCAAGACCACCTTTGAAAGCTCGTAGAGAATTTCAACCTGGCCCATGAAGCCGCATCGTGCTGAGATTGTCCTAAGAACCATTCTGTATACTAAGTGTATTGTTCTCTGTTTGTGTTTACCCTCCTAGTATTCCATCTGTAGTGAGCCTCTGTTAGAACTGTCCAACCCTGGGGCCAGTGGCTCCTTGTTCTTCGTGACCAGCGATGATGAATTTATCATCAAAACAGTTCAGCACAAAGAAGCTGAGTTTCTCCAGAAGCTCCTGCCAGGATATTACATGGTAAGTGTGTGCCCACAAGCAAAGCTTGTGCTTTAGGCTGACTTAGTTCTTCCCAAAATCTTTTTTCCAAATGACTCGTCCCTCTGGTGAATTTCATTCTGTGATGAGTTTATACCATGGCATTCATCAAACAGATTTTAAGAAATGAATAGGCACCAAGTGATAGAATACTCATGTGGAGTCACAGTCCTGGGTTCAAATCTCGTTATGCTTTGGGGGTTCAGGAGTAAATGACACAGTTCCTGGGGTCTTAGTTTCCGAAGGCTTTCAAAGCTAAGAAACAGTAACTACCTGATACAGTTGTTGGCCCAAAGGATAGACACAGGATACAGGATAAAGAAAGGGAGGCCTCTAGGCCCGGCGCAATGACTCTATATCTAAATCCTCACTTTGCAAGTTCCAGAATCCCATTTGGGTGCCAGTTTATGTCCCAAGTGCTCCACTTCCCTTCCAACTCCCTGCTTGTGGCCTGGGAAAGCAGTAGTGAATGGTCCAAAGCCTGGAAACCTTGTACCCACAAGGGAGACCTGGAAGAAGCTCCTGGCTCCCGCCTCCTTCCTCCTGCTGCCTGCCTCATGTCTTCGGATCAGCTCAGCTCCAGCCATCGCAGTCAGCGGTCATTTTCGGAGTGAACCAGCTGATGGAAACTTTCTCTCTATCTCTTCTTCTCTCTGTAAATCTGATCTGCCTTTCCAATAAAAACAAATAAATCGTTTTTCTAAAAAAAGTCCTTGCAAAACTCTTTGCAGGTTTATGTAGTAGTAATATTAATGATTATCAATAATCCGTTGCTTGCCATGTATTAAGTCTTCAGTGCTTGGCATGCATTAACTTATTTAGTCATCAACGCTAGATATTAAGGTTGTCATCACCATTTTGCAGATGAACTGATCAAGGCAAAGATAACTTGACTTATTTGCCACCAGTTACACAGCTAACTATCTGCAGAGATGTGCCTGGTAGGAACATTTGTAACCTTGTACTACACACCATCCCTTATCTTTATCTTTATCCTTTATGTTGTGTGAGTTCTTCCTAATGGCTGCTGTAGAATTCGGGATTTCATGGGTTTGATATGATTACATGAAAGCCATCTCTTGTATAATGCTAAGACAAAGGAACAATATCTTGGCCTAGCAAGATTTGTTAGGCATTTAGTTCAAATTTTCAAAAGAGCAACCGTTTCCCCTAAGTATTCCTGTGATTTTTTTTTTTTGAAAGCATTTTTTTTTTTATTGGAAAGGCAGATTTACAGAGAGAAGGAGAAGCAGAGGAAGATCACCCATCTTCAGGCTCACTCCCCAGCAGTCATTTCTCAAACCAGTGCCCTTATGGGAGGTGGGAGTTGGAGAATATAAATGGGAGAAAGACTGTACCTGGTGGCAGTAATTTGTAATGAACCTTGTTAAGAAAACAAAGAGATACATGAAAGCATATTGTAATTCTGATCAGGAAAACAAGTTAGGGTAGTTAAATGTACTATATGAGTAGTGATCAACTCAGAAAAAAATTCCTAGTAGGAAGAAAATTTCTAAAATAGATGATTTTGTAAAACAAAAGACTGATAAGAATAAAACTACAAAATGCTGTTGAAAGATATAAAGATCTGAAAAAATGAAAATATTTGCTGTGTTTTTGAACTCAGTATTATCCTGATTCAGTTACCCCCAAATTACAAATGCACCCTGATTCCAGCTGAAAGTTTCATTAGTATTTTTCCAGAACATAACAAAGCTTACTAAGTAAAACAACACTATTAAAGTGAACAAGTAGTGGAAAAAGAGTGGGCAAGGGAAAAAATGATAAGCCTGCAATAACATACACCAAAAATCTGTACATTATAAATGAATACATAATATTAATAAATCATATGCAAATGAATCAATGGATTTTATTCAAGTGTCAGAAATAGGCAACTGTATTAGATAGCTTGTTAAATTGATGTAAGGAGATTTAATAGGAACGTCACACTAATCAGTCAATAGCTCTCAGTTTGGAGAAAAGATTAAATGTCCTGTGTCTGATCTTTTCACATCAGCTCTGTAGATGGTATGATGCAGGGTACTGACAAAGCTATTAAAAACGTTGAAAACAATGGACATTTATAGCCATGGAGTATCAAAAGCTTTACTTTTTAAACTACGAATTTGTTTGATTTGTTTTTTAGAATATTCTTTCTTTATTTAATTGAAATGCAGAGTTACAGAGGAGAGGGAGAGAGAGACAAATATTCCATCCACTGTTAATTCTCCACATACCTGCATGGCCAGGCGTGGGTCAGCCCAAACCCAGAAGCTTGAAACTCCAACCAGATCTCCCACGGGGGAGGTAGGGACCTAAGCCTTAGACCATTTTTGCTGCTCTCCCAGGTGCATCAAAAGGCAGCTAGATAAGAAGTAGGGTAGGGCTATAACCAGGGCGCGCATGGGAAATCGGGATTGCAGGTGGCGATTTAACGTGCTGTTCCACAGATCCCTAAAAGCTTTCCTAAGATGCCAAAAAGGAATCAGAGGATAGAAGGGGGGCATGGGAAAGATTTCTCAGAGAGCTCTTAGTTACAATTAGACAAAGGAACTAAGTTCTGTTATCCCATTACATAGTAGCGTGACTACAGATAATCATCACACACTGTGCATTAAAAAAAAACTCAATAAAGACCTTTTTTTTTTTAGTATTTTCACCCCAAAAAGTAATAAATATTTGAGGAGACAGCTGCTTAATCTAATCTGAATATTCTACAGTGTATCATGTATCAAAACTTCTTATGGCCCAATTGTTCTATGCAAATTTATCCAAAAATAAAAAGCACAAAAAATGAGAAGGTAAATGTGACTGTCTTGAAAATAAAAAGTTTTGTATTATAAGAAATAGAGGAACCAAGGATGCTTTTCACAGTGTACGTTCCCTGGAGGAAGTGGTCTTTGTTTCTTGCCTGCTTTTAATGTGGGACAGTACTAAGAGTGAGTTCTTTACTTTAGCTATGATAGAGAGTAGTCATTCCTAACACCTGCACAATTTTTGCTGGTTTTTGTTTCTTTTTAGGATTTATTTGTTTTACTTTGGAAAGCCAGAGGGAACATCACTGATCATCCTTGGGCTAGCATAAAAACACGCGCGATTGGGAGGGTGGCATGACTTTGTAAAAAGTAGCAGACTGTAGCTGACTTTTCCGTTTGCTTTGTCTCTCCTAGAATTTAAATCAGAACCCAAGGACGCTGTTGCCAAAATTTTATGGACTGTACTGCATGCAGTCCGGGGGCATCAACATCCGGATCGTGGTCATGAACAACGTGCTGCCCCGTGCCATGAGAATGCACTTCACCTACGACTTGAAAGGCTCGACTTACAAGCGCAGAGCATCCCGGAAAGAGAGAGAGAAATCCAACCCTACCTTTAAGGACTTGGATTTCCTGCAGGACATGCACGAAGGCCTGTATTTCGACACAGAAACATACAACGCACTCATGAAAACACTGCAGAGAGACTGCCGGGTAAGCTGCCGCCATCTGGTTTATTATTGTTTTTCTCTTGGCTGCCACTTGCTGAAAGCGTAGAGAGGAGGCCTGTCCACACTGGACGTGCACAATCCCATCGCTCCCATCCTGTGGTCACAGGGTCTGGAATCCCGTGACTCACGTCTCTGTTTATTTTCATAAGAAGCTAAGTCTGCTTTCTTTAATAAAATGCAACAGGAAGATTTTTTTTTTCCCTTTTTACAATGGGGAAGACCGTAACCTAGAAGGCAAGGAAGAATAGGTTTATGCAGTGATTATGAGAAAAAGTGTACCTGAGTGTTGGAAGATTACAATGGGGCGGGGAGGGGGAACAAGCTGAGAGAACATGCACTCAGTGGGCTTCATTCAGGAGGCCCTGGCGATGCAGCGTGGGTGTGGAGCTGTGATGCGTGCACTGCGTGAAAGGCCTCCAGCTGGACCTCAAGCGAGACTTAGAACACAGGAAGAAGCCAACAGTGCAATTTTGATCACTTTGGAAGGGTGAGGGTCTTTGATCATTAAGTTCTAAGGGCTGGCGTTGTGGCTCCGCAGATGAAGCCACTGCCTCTGCCAGTGCTGACTCAACTCTCCTCTGCTCTCTTGATTTTCATAGAAACAAACAGTTCTTTCAAAATTTTTAAAAAAAAAATTCTTACAAATATTATTTCCTGGCCCAGATAAATGTCTAGGAACGCTCTGAGCCACCTGTCTCAGTTGGCCAGCAGAGGTGAGTGGACCGCATGGTGGTGCAGAGTGGACCCAGGCCTGGCTAGGGCTTTTTGGAGGGGCAGCTGGGACTCACGGACAGATAGGCACTGGGCAACATGGGATAGACCTTGCAGCCTGTGGCCTTCTGGCCAGATAATCCACATCAATCAGGGGATAAGGGCCACTTGTCTACAGCCTTGAACTCAAGTGAAGGTGAGGAAGACCTCAGATGCACCAAAGCAGGAAGCTCCTAGTTCTGTGCTTCTAGCGGTACTCTGTATAACGCAGAGGACGGTTGAGAGCATAACCTTGGCACCATTTCCTTCATGGACAGAGGTGGGACGCCCTCCTTCTGCCTGCATGTCCCTAGCAGTGTTGCCAGCAGTGCCGGAATCAGTGCTGCTCATGTGGGCGTTTTCATTGCTGAAGAACTGGATTATTAAAAAGGTTAAGCAGGTTGTCTAGAATCATGTAGCAAGATGGTGACCAGGTCAACATCAGTTTAGTTACAAAGTATGTGCTCTCAGCAACTGAAATCTCTCTCTAAAGATTTTTGTAAAGGATCTTATAAGAGGTGGGAGAAGGGTTGGTGAATGCTAAATTATAGCTTGCTAGGAGAAATAAATTATAGTGTTCTATTGATAGGTAACAATAGCACATGATTTTTTAAAAGTTAGAATATTTTAAGTATTTTAGCAATCATAAATGTTTGCCGTGAGTTGGACATAATGCAGGGTATACATGAATATATGCATCACATGATGCTCCATAAATGTGTAGAAATTTCACATATCCGTTAAAAACATTTTTTTTAATTTTTGAAATTTTAAAGAAATGAATCAGGGGAGGAACAGAGGAACCAAGCAAAGAAAAATATTCCTAGCAAAGCTATTCAGATATCTGGGTGGATAGGGGTGCTTCATGTTTTTCTTCAAAAAAAAAAAAAGAAAACACACACACATATTTTAATAGAAACCTTTTTCCTGTGTTTTTCTGCCCTTACAGGATGTGAGTGAAAAGTAACTCTGAATTCCCCAAGGTTTAACACAAACCTCTCCGATTTTAGATTTAGATTTAGATTTAGAGAGAGAGAGAGAGTGTGTGTGTGTGTGTGTGTGTGTGTGTTTCTTGCCTCTTTCCTATCAAAGGCCAGCTGTGTTAGACTGAATACTTCTATGCAGAGCCACTGCAAGGCAGGTTTGTCAGTGTGTGTGTGTGTGTGTGTGTGTGTGTGTGTGTATGTGTGTGTGTGTGTGTGTGTGTGTGTGTGTGTGTGTGTGTGTGTGCTCTTTCCTATCAAAGGCCAGCTGTGTTAGACTGAATACTTCTATGCAGAGCCACTGCAAGGCAGGTTTGTCTGTGTGTGTGTGTGTGTGTGTGTGTGTGTGTGTGTGTGTGTGTGTGTGTGTGTGTGTGTGTGCTCTTTCCTATCAAAGGTCAGCTGCGGCTGTATTAGACTGGGTACTTCTATGCAGAGCCACTGCCAAGCAGGTTTGTGCCCAGAGCTGAGAGGAGGCCAGATTCCGCATCAGGAGTTGAGAGCCTGGAGACTGGCCTTTTTATCTTTTGTTCTTTTGGAGTTTGTTGTTGTGCCAGGCACAAAATTCAATGAGGAGTTAGCCTGAGGCAAACTGCCTTTCACTCATTCAGTGCAGGTGACCTTGACTCCAACACAGATGCAGATCTTCTTTCAAGTGACCTTCAAATAGGCTTTTGTGGGTTGGGAGCATGTAAATATTGAGCTATAGGGGGAATGTGGTGTCCATCCCTGATCTACTTTGACCCCACGTGGAGTCAACAGGGGAGCTCTGAGCAGAGCTGCCTGAGTAAGGCATTCTGGAATGGCGGCTCTTGATACTTGGGCCTCCCTGAAGTCTGACAGGTTCTGTGCCCCATCCTCCCTGGAAGGACAGACTACAGGGAGCTGGGGAGTTTGCAGCATCTCTTAAGGTTCCCGCATGATAAACAAGCTGAAACGTGTATCCTACATGAAATCTGCACTCCTCCAGAATCCCATCATCTTCCCCCAGGCCTGCATCCCTTCCTGTCTACCCTGACCCAGGGTACGTGATCATTGGATGGTCAGCTGGCCCAAACCAGTACCTTAAGGTACTGGTACTGTCATTTATGTCATGAAAGAGTATTTATACTTCCACCATTTGTTTTACTGAATACTGACTCTTGTCTACTTTAGGTAAATCGCAGTACTCCAAAAAGTCTAGAATAATCAAATCAAAATATGCTGATTTTAGTGCAAAAAAAATTTATGTCAATACATGATTTTTCATCGTGTGCCCTTTTTTCATGAATTTTTCTTAAGATCCTTCATACACATAGATTTCAGGTGTTTTGCCACACCAACTTAGACTTGTCTTTCGTTTATGTTTTCCGTGAGTTCTCTAAAGCACTTTGTGTTGTGTTCCCAGCTAGACTGTAAATGTCTCGAAGCCAGACAAGGCTTACTTCTTACACCTCAGTGTTCCTGAGCCCTGGCCTCAGTACAAGTCACCTGATTGTGATGAGAGCTCTTTCAAGTTGCAAATTTATATATTGATTTTGGGAGAAAAATTAAGAACTGCTTTTGTATTCATTTTTAATTTACTATGATTATTTCTTCCCTGACATCTCTGAAAAATCTGGACTTCCATATCATTCACTTAATTTGATAAATTATTGTATTCTGTGGTATTTATTTATAACTCTGGGAAGTGTCACTGAGACAGAGTGTATGAGTCAAAACTAATCCTTCAAGTAGTTCAAGTCATGTACCAGATGATCTTGATGATTAATGACCTAAGGGACTTATTTTACTTATATTACCATTTTTTGTTGAGCAGCAAAGTTATTAATTTTTAAATAGTGTAGAACCAATTTTCTCTTTTCATACAAATGACTGTTGCCATAAATATTAATAGGTTCTCAGAATTTAATGAAATCAGAGTTAAGAATACGGAAATGTTTTCCTGTGCAGACAAGGATCTTCCTGACTATAGCAGGATTTTCCATTTATAGATAAGATTGCCATCAGCTCTGGGCATGTTTTTATGGGTTATGATATGGTTTCTTTTGTATAAAACTTAATTTAGCATCATAGTTACCCTTCAGCTATATTTTGCCTTGGTATTAATTTTCTTGCATTTTGTTTAAGCAATTTATTTTTCTTTTGATTTTGTTTACTTTCCCGTTTATCAATGAATGGAAAAAAGTGCCTCAGGCCACATAGAAAAGCAAATGCCGCATGTGAGTGAAACCATCTTAAATGCAAGCTCTGCCTTTTTGTCAATAGGGAATTGGAGCTTGTTTTTAGACTTTAACCAAAGCATGAAAAGTGTGTAGGGACCCATATATTCCATGCCTCTAATATTACTAACAATAGAAGATACGGATTAATTTACTCTCTTTATAAAGGTGTTTTATAAATACACAAATTCCGTGACCGAATTGATTTGCTCCAATGTTTTAAATTATGAGTTTTGCTTTCACTAATATTATTTTGATACTTTAGCAATATAAGCTTAAAGCAAGGTTAACGTTGATATACAAATAAATAAAACCAAAAAACCAAAACCATAAAATCAAAAATTGTTCAAGCTGGAAGACATCTTAACCCTCCCTTGGCAATAGTGAAATGATGTCTTCCTGATAGTCTGGGGAAAAATTATTCTGGATACACCTAACCAAGACAGGTTTCCTTTTGAGAAACAGAAATGAAGAGACTCTCAAATATGCAGAGATTTACACTTTTTAAAAAAGTACTTGTAATTCTTTCTTTAACGACTTTTTTGTAAAAATTGGGGGGTAATTCTGGATTCACATGCAGTTAGAAGCAATAGTACACTTAAAGTATGTCAGACACAGGCCGACCTGTTATCACTTGCCGACTGTTTCCAACACAAGTGAACATGGTAGCCTCTTAGACGATGAAATGTGCAGGCCACAGTGAGGCTCATCTGCTGGACAAGGAGGTAAAGGATGCGTGGTGGACAAGCCTGTGTGAGTCCCATTAACTACAGAAACCACAAGATGGGCAAGCCTATGGTAGCAGGTATGGGTTTTTTTTAACCCTTATTTGAAGCTACAAAAAATAATACAAAAATGCATAAAGAATGGAGACAGGGACTGAAATATGATATCCTCAAATCCCAAGGAGAACATTTCCTTCTCATTTTACTCCCAAAGGAAATATTACCTAACAAGAGAGAACCCAAAGATTTCCCAGGTTTGTTGTTGCTGTTTTCGCACAGTGAAAGGAATAATGGAAGCCGAAGAGTTTGATCTTAGGAAGTGGA